GAGCTCTCACCTAACAGCACGGTGTAGGGTCTATGGCCCACCTCCTGAGTGAAGGGCTCTACTACAACTTAAACTTTACCTAATAAATGTAAACAATGTAATGTAACTGTATTGTTATTTCAATCTGAAATTTTTTTTTAAATAAAATGCTAAGAAAAAAAATACCAATGCCGGACTCCACCTCTAGAGACGATCAGATCAAAGATGTGGCCCAGGCATCAAGAATTTTAAAAGTTGCCCAGGTGACTCTCATGTGGACCAAGGTGATGGGCCTTCCCCATTAACAAACTCCCGGGGTCAGCATTAGGAAAAGGGTCGGCCCAGAGAGGCAACTGCTGCCTTATTGGAGCTGGTCAGAATCATGAGTTCTGAGGCCCCACCTAGACCTCCCCACTCAGATGCGCAGAGGGTGGCACCAGCCACCTGGGCACCAAAAAGCCCCAAAGAGCCTCGGCTAGATGTGACCAGCATTGCCCCGGAGACTCCTTTATTCTGGAAACCCCCATCCCCATGGGCCAGAATCTCAGAACGAAGAGAGGGATGGGTTTTTCTAGGGAAGAAGGAAAAGCAGTGTTTACGCCCTGAAGATTACCCCTAGGGAACCTTTCCACTTCCCATTCTAGGCCTAACCCCAACACCCCGTAGTACAGAAAGCCAGTGTCACATCCAGAGTTATTTTAGCCCAAAAGGTGCTCAGGGGAGGGGCCTGTGGCTTAAAGGAGTAATGCACCAGCCCCACATGCTGAAGGTGGTGGGTTCAAACCCAGCCCTGGGCCAAAACAAAGCTCCAAAAGATGCTCAGGCCTCAGCTTCCCTGGAGAGGTCTCGATGCCAACACAGGCCAAGGAGGGGAGCACCCTCTCCCACCCAGACCCACCAAAGCCACACGACTGAGAAAGGTACATCATTATTCACAAAAGAACTTAATAGTGTAACCATAATTAAAAACACTGTGGCAAGCCGCTCCCGTGGCTCACACCTGCAATCCTAGCACTCTGGGAGGCCCAGGCGGGTGGACTACTTGAGCTCAGGAGCTCAAGACCAGCCTGAGCAAGAGCAAGACCCTGTCTGTACCAAAAATAGAAAAAGTAGCTGGGCGTCACAGTGGATGCCTTTTCAGCTACTGGGGAGGCTGAGGCAGGAGGATCGCTTAAGCCCAAGAATTTGAGTTTACTATGAGCTATGATGATGCCACGGCACTCTACCCCGAGTGACAGAGTGAGACTCTCTGAAAAATAAAGAAATAAAAATAAAAAACACTGCTGCATTGAAGGACACGCAATCTCGTGTGTGTGTGAGTGTGTGTCTTTATAAATCCTCTCCACTCCGCTGATCCACGCAGGAGTCTATTAGCCGTCACGTCAGTGCAGAAGCTCAGGCCTCCCCCCTTCCCAGATCACAGGCTACATTTTAACAAGATCCCTGTGAATGTTTGAGACACACTGGAATAAACCAAACACCAGGCACAACCCAACTTAGACATTTATTGAATGCAACATCTCAGCAGAGTTCAAATCACAGCGGGAAGCACGACCCACTACACGCAGGCATCTGCTGGGCTGTGATGTAGCTCATTGCCCATCTCATCCCGGAACTTTTTACAGCTCATGCTCCCCTACCACCACCAGCCCAAGAGAGTATGATTTAATTGGCCTGCGCTTGGGCCTGGGCAATTATTTAAATCCTCCAGGCGAGTCCAATGGGCACCCCAGGTGGAGACCCACTCACATACTCAGCGGGTGCGTTTCCCTGTGGGTTTCAGTCTGCCCAGGCTTGGACTTTATGCTGGAGAACTGAGCCTGGGCAGATACCTTTCATCACAGGCTGGAGGGCGACTCAAGCTAACATTCAACATTTGGACTGAGGACTCAGTATGAAGGCGACAGCCAAGGAGTGTCCCCTGGCATTTTCCAGGACTCTTCCCTACTGAGTGTGCAGATGAGTCTTCCCTTCCCCGGGACTGCTAATTGCCTTTCCCTACTAAGAGGGAGTTTGTTAATTCTTCTTTTCTTACAGAGATTTCCTGGCAATTATGAAATGACTCATAAGGGGACCAGCACACTGACCACTTGAACATTTGAGACAATCTTTCAGCTCACAGATGACTCTGTGTAATGTCTTGAAAGAGAGCCCCTGATCGCCGAGAATCACTAAGTGAGCCTTTCCCCTGCAGACCAGGTAGACATGACCCTGCTTGAGCAACCAAGGTAGGAGGAAATTCTTCCACCAGCCTGTGGCTGAGAAACCCAGGTCTTCCCTGTCTCCTTTTTAGGGTTTCCCCCAGTTGTCTTCCTGGGTGATCTCGGGTCGTTTAAAGCATGAGGCAGTAACCATACCTCACACCCAATACCCATGGCAGCCAGCCAGCAGTGAGGCTGCCAGAAAAGCTACGGTGAAGGAGAGCCTGGTCTTGAAGCGAGGAGTATGCCATAAGCTTGCTGTGCACCTTTGCACAAGTTACCTAACCTCTCTGATCATCCCTAACATTTCCTCAACCCAGAAGAGCTGACCCAAAGGGCTCAGGTGAGAATGAAAGGAAGCCAGAGGCGGCACAGGAACATTACAATCTGTAAAGTTCTGCGTGTGATAGAAGCAGGTTGGCACCCCCCCTCAGTGCTCCTCTGGGTCACCGGACACACATCAGTGCACGCACTGACACAAAGGCAGCACAGATGGCACTGAGATGGCAGCCAGGCCCCAGGGCTGAGGGCTGGCCCCCTGGGCTTCCCTGATGGCCTTCAAGGGAGAGGACACCGCAGCCCACCATGGTGGGTCCACAAAGTGCCCCAGCCTCCCCTTACAAACACCACCAGGCATCTAGCTCAGATGGCCTGGTCCTGCCTCCGCCTCAGGCTGAGCACACGGGCTGCTGCCAGGAAGGCCGCCCCAGTGAGCAGCTCAGCGACGAAGCTGACCCAGCCCAGGGCCAGGGACCAGCCGAAGTGAATGTCCACCTGGTCCAGGAGGGCCTTCTCCTCCAGGAGGCACAGCGCCTGCCGGAAGGCAGCGGCTGAATATGCGATGTAGATGCTGATCCCAGAGAGGGTCACTGTGGCTGCAGGGAAGGCAAGGGGAGAGCAGATCAGACTCCAGCACACTCCCTCCTCGCCTCCTCTCTTGCCTCCTCCTGCTCCCCACCTCCCCAATCTTTCCTTCTGCCCCCTTCTTCCCCTCCTTGCCTTGCCCAACTACAACAGTAGCCAAGACCCAGAGGAGTCCTCACTTCTTCCTACCTCAGGACCCTTGCCCATGCTGGTCCCCTTGCCTGGGGCCCCCTCTGCTCCCCTGTCCTCCAATCCTCCGTATCTCAGTTCCTGCAGGATTCCCAGGCTTGCCTGCGCAGTGACCCCACAGCACCACACAGCTGTCTACACCACCCAGGGCACAGCTGCATTCTGCACTCAGTTGTGTAATTATGTAACTAATCACATCTACCTGCCCCTCCAGGCTGTGTGCCCAGAAGGCAGGGGCCATGCCCATCCAGCACATCCTCAGCCCCCAGCACGTAGTAGGTCTCCAGAGATAGCAGACTTGAGCCGCACTAACCAGTATGGTAGCCCTGGCCACATGTGGCTATTTAAGTTTATTCATATAAATTAAATTAACAATTCAGTCTCTCTTTGGCACTTGCTGCCCAAGCCTGATTGGTGGCTCTCCCAGAACCAGAGGACAGAGAGCTTCTCCATGACAGAAACTTCTACGGGGTGGTGCTGGTTTCAAGACAGAGTCACTGGGTGAGCTATTCATGCTGATATTAACAATTGTGGGCTCTTGGGAGATTCAGAGCTTTGTGATATTTTCACCCTTCAGACATTCCTTTTGCTTTTTCTCTTCCTGGATTCTAAGTGTGCACGTCGCCTCTACCGGCAGTCCTTTCTCAGCGAGGATCCACGCTGAACACACCAAGTGCAGGGAGCCACGGAGCAGCAGCTGTGCACCAAATCCCACGTTTTAAAACCTCTTGCCTGCCCAACAATGGCTTCAATCCAGCCACCGTCTGCCGCACCTATTGTTGTGGTCGGGCTTAGTGTTTCACTGACAAGTAAAAATTCTTAATTGATGGTGTATAACACGTGATGTTTTGATCTCTGCATGGAAGAATGGCGAGATTGAGCTAATTAATGTATACATTGCCTCACATACTTAGCACTCTTCGTGAGAGAACACTTCAAATCTACTCTCAGGGATTTTCAAGAATGCAACTGTTATTAACTAAAGGGACCATGATGTACAGTATGTTTCCTGAATTTATCCCCCGTCGAACTAAAACGTTGTGTCCTTTGACCATCACCTCCGTGTCCTCCTCCCCTGCCTCTGACACCCACCGTTCTACCCTCTGCTTCTATGAGTAGCCCTTGTTTAGACCCTACATATAAGGGCAGTCAGGTGGTGTTTATCTTCTTGTGTGTGACATTGCCTGCTTTTTAATTGCTATCTGCCAGAACATCTGGTTGGCCTGAGAGAGCGAGGGTGGCCGGAGTGAGGGCCCCTTGCCAGCCCATGGCCCTAGAGCTGGAAGCTGTTGTGACTTGGGGCAAAGGTAATGTACATGGCTTCTTAGGTAAGATAATGAAAATGATCCTTGGAAGCCGCTGCCTCCCCACTGCGTCTGCCTTGGAACCAAAGGCCCAGGGATCCTGGGCTGGAAACTGCTTGTTTCTCACAAACGGAAACCCACAGAGGGGTCCTGTGTGGCACCCACCACCCATGTCCTCCCGAGCCCTGGCCAGGGTGGGCACTTACCTCCAAAGAGGAAGAGAGTCCCAGTGAGCAGCAGGAGGAGGTAGGCACGGAGGAGGAAGCTCAGAAACCCCATCATCCCCCCGAAAACCATCAGGATCAGGCTGAGCGGCAGCAGAATCACGAACATCCCATGCATGGCTGAGGGAGGACACCAGGCAGAAGGGGGTTACTACTGTCCTTCATTCAATCAGCAAACATTTACAAGCACCCACTACTGGCCACCCCCCAAATGCCAGGGGGATCCACACCGCTGTCACTGCGCCTCACTTGCTACCATTACTGCGGGTCTCTCTAATGATGATGATGATGATTGACGGTGTCGGCAGCAGTGGGGACTGGGGCTCCTCCTGGGCAGCCTGTGCACTTGAGAAGCCTCATCTCACTGAACCCTCATGCACCTATTTTCTCAGTTCGGACTCACAGGGGAATAAACCAAGATCCCTGCCCTCCTGGGGCCAGCATCTAGCGAGTAGGGTCAGCAGGAAACAAACAAACAACAACAACAACAAACCAAACAAACAAAAACTAAGCAACTGGCAACACTGAGAGATGGAGAAAAATATGGGGCCCAGGGGTGAAGCAGAGGGCACAGGACTGGGGTGCGGGGAAGGACACGGAGCAAAGCCCTGGAGGAGACGGCAGCGAGGAAGGGGCCTGGGGTGCAGAGGCCCCCCACCTGTGGGTGGGAGGTGTCTGGGGGAGGACGGGCAGAGTCAGACAAAGGAGAGGCTGGGGGAGTGTGAATAGGGCACATCAGGTGGAGGAAGAGGACCCCCTCTCTGAAAGAGATGGGAGCCGCCAGACAGGGTGCGGCAGAAGAACCAGGGGCTCTGGCTGCTATATCAGGAGTAGACAGCAGAGGGCGTCGTGGATCGGATGGTGACTTCACCCAGACCCGTGGGGGTGATCTTATTTGGGAAAAGGTTCTCTGCAGAGGTGACAGAGTTAACCGTCTTGAGATGAAACATCCTGATGGGGGTGGCCCTACATCCAAGTGGTGTCCTGAGAAGAGATGAGGAAAGGACAGAGAGAAGGTGATATGAGGACATGGGAGGAGATCGGAGCGACACAGCCACAGCACAAGACCTGGTAGGTAACCCAGGATCACAGCCCGGACCTGGATGGAAGGGTTGGAAGGGACTCTCCCGCAGAGCTTCCGGAAGGACCAACCCCGCCAACCCCCTAATTTTTGACTTCTGGCCTCCAAAACCGTGAGAGAGTAAACTTGGGTCGTTTTAAGCCCCCACTTTGTGCTTATTTGTTACGGCAGCCTAAGGGGCGAGGCGGGAAGCATGGAGACCTCAGGGATCTTGCAACAGCCCTGGTGCAGGGTGACAGTGACCCAGACCAGGATGGGCACAGGAAGCAGTGGGGTGGGAGAAGTGGTTGGATTCCAGGTGCGTCTTGAAGGTGAAGCAGTCTGTGACCTTGACAAGGGTGTAAGAGAGAAAGGCAGAGTGTGAGGGTGAGATCCAGGGCGGAGCCACCAGGCTCAGGGAGTTTCCACTTGCCCAGAGGGGGAGATGAGGGAGGAAGAGGCTGAGGGGGAGAAGGAATCAGGACATGCTGAGTTTGAGACAGATACCGCAGGCCAGAGCTCAGTCAAGGAAGGAGCTGTGAACTGGGCAGCTGATGCACACAGACATGTTTAGAGGCTGAGACAGGTGAGGTCTCAGGGGAGAGAACAGGGATAGAGAGGAGAAGTGGCAAGGGACTGAACCCAGGAGGCTGCAAAATGTACCCATCGAGGAGGAGGGATTAGCGGGAAGGTCAGAGGGTCCAGGGAGCACCCTCTCCTCCCGGTGGGTGGCTCCCACACCTCTCCCAGGCCTCCTGCCAACACCAGCAGATTCCAAGGATGTGTGAAATTCAGTCCCCCAGGTGAGCTGAGGACAGTGACAGGCAAATGGTGAGCAGGACATCTCATAAAGCCTGACGCCAGCCTTCTGCCCCCAGCCCTAGCCCCCCAAATATCCTGTGAGTCCAAGGTACACGACTGATTTTCCCCTGGGAGACTCTAATCTCACCCCAGTGTCCCAGAGGGAGCAACAAAACCCAAAGCCTAAATGATCTTGATACAAAAAATAATATTAATAAAATATTGTACTTCATATATAAATAAAAATAAAAGAATAATGGTCTTCAGAATAACAATGATAGCAAACTATGATAGAAGGTTCCTAGGCGCCAGGCCTTGTCTTCAGCATTTCCCAGGCCATAATTCATTTCTATCCTTGTAACAACCCTATGAGGTAGGAACTGTGTATATGCCCATTTTACAGATGTAGAAACTGAGACACAAATACTTAAGGAACCTTCCTAAAACTGTCACAGCTAGAAAATGGCAACCCCAGGGTTTGAACCCAGGCAGAAAAGGCTCTTTTTGTTCAGTTGGGGTCCCTGGGTGGAGAAAGGTAAAACCCAAGAGTGTTTCTGTGTCTGGGTAACACCAAAAAAAGATCGACCCTATTCTCTACCTGCTGTTTTGTGTGTTGTAGAGATAGCCAGAGAGGCCACTTTTATTTCTAATTGAGAAAAGATTCTGCCTGGAATCACTGAAATGGCAAATTTGCTCTCCTTCTAGCATCTTTCAGCCCCACTGTTTCTTCCTTTAGGTCACAGCTGTATTTTCTAGCATTGGGGACACACTTTCCGAGAAACTCAGGAGACGATATCACTGTCCTTCACCAATTTCTCCAAAAGAAGAAATTCCATGACCTTGTGGTACTAGAAAGATGTTTGGTATGTATTCTCAGTCCCCAGTTCCTGGCACAGAGCTCCTAAAACTCTTGGAATTTCCTGAATGACAAAGATGATAGGAGCATCTTTTGCTCTAATGAGGCAACTCTTGCTGCACTCAGATAGCTTCAAGATGGGGTTGGTCTCCAGAAAGGCCAAGGCACGATTCGATGGTTGGACGTTTAAGCCCCACCTCTAACCACTTGGGAGTAGAGATGGGCTGGAGATTGAGCTAATCACCAAGGACCAATGACTTAACCAATCCTGCCTTCTCAACGGAGTCCCTATAGAAGCCCTAAACTATGGGGTCTGAGAGCTTCCAAGTTGGAGACCACATCCAAATCCTGGGAGGGTGGTGTGCCCAGAGAGGGCAGGAAAGCTCTGTTCACCCACAAACCACCATACCTCACCCTGTGAGTCTCTCCCATTCAGCTGTTGCTGAGTTGTACCCTTTTTAATAAACTGGAAATGATAAGTGAAGTATTTTCGGTAGTTCTGTGAGCTACTCTAACAAATTATTGAACCTGAGGAGGGGGTCATGGGAAAGCCCCAATTTATAGTCAGTTGGTGGCTGGGACTTGTGACTGGTGTCTAACATCAAGGTAGTCTTGTGGGACTGAGCTCCTTGAATTCAAGAGCTTGAACATTAATTCCAGATGACTGGTGTCAGAATTGAGTTGGATTGGATTGTTGGACACCAGTTTGTGTCAGAAAGTTAAGGAGGAACTTAGAAAGTTGCAGGGTTAGGGTGGAAAAGACACCAAGTATTTGGTGTCAGAAGTGTGAGAAAAACCACCACTCAGCCCTCCAGAAGATCAAGGTTGCCATGACGAGGAGGATGGCTTGGGCCATCTGGAGGACAGGTCTCAGCACAAGCCCTATGAATGGGCACTGGGTGGCTCCCCTCCACAGGCTTTCTCCACTAGCTCCTTTGCTTCTGACTATAGGGTGATGGTCGTGGCATCCCAACTATAGTATCCCGAGCCTTCCTCCTGCCTGTCCTTCCTCATCCCTGACCACCCTTCAGCACCCAACTCCAGCATCACCTCCTCCAGGAAGCCTTCCCAGATAGCCCCCAACAGAGTTCATCCCCCCTCTTCTGAGGTTTCTCATTAGGCTGAACAGAGTTCCATAGTTGCACTTCTCCTACTTGGTTGGAATGTGTTTGCCACATCGTCTCCACAACTGGAAACTGAACTTCCTTGGTGCCCCTTAGAGCAGCAGAATGCTCAGCATGCAGCCATGTTGACCGTCAGTGAATGGTGAATTAACAAACCAACAAGATCCAGCAGGAAGGTGCCGAGGCCTGTCCAGATCTACCCACAGAGTCTGTATATGCTGCCTCTGGTGGGACCAGACACAAATGTCCTCGTAGGGGGACATTCTTGCCAGAGGGAAGCAGCCACAAAGCAGATGATCACACACTCAGCTAACAATGAGCTACAATAGCTGGGGGTCAGGAAAAATGCAGCACAGGGGGATGGCTGGCCCTTGTTCCTGCCTTGGCTCTGCCATCATGGCTGTGATACCTCAAAAAATCTGAAAACCACTGCAGTCTTCAGTGGGGCATTTGTGGGACCGCATTAACTGAGCATTTGGAAATCTCCATTATACAGAGGCTGCCTTTGGCTAGGTGCCTATAATTCTAGCATTCTAGGAGGCGAGGCAGGGGGATTGCCTGAGCTCAGGAATTCGAGATCAGCCTGAACAAAAGCAGGACCCCATCTCTGCTAAAAAATAGAATAGCCAGGCGTGTAGTTCCTATAGTCCCAGCTACTCAGGAGGCTGAGGCAGGAGAATCACTTGAGCCCAGGAGTTTGAGGTTGCTGTGAGCTATGATGCCATAGCACTCTACCCAGGGCAACAGAATGAGACTCTGTCTCAGAAAAATAAAGACAAATAGGCTCGGCGCTTGTGTCTCAAGTGGCTAAGGTGCCAGCCACATACACTAAGGTGGCGGGTTTGAATCCAGCCCAGGCCCACTGGACAACAATGATGGCTACAACCAAAAAAAAAAAAAAAAATAGCCAGGCATTGTGGTAGGCACCTGTGGTCCCAGCTACTTGGGAGGCAGAGACAGGAGACTCGCTTGAGCCCAGGAGTTGGAGGTTGCTGTGAGCTGTGATGCCACAGCACTCTACCCAGGGAGACAGCTTGAGGCTCTGTCTCAGTAAATAAATAAATAAATAAATAAATAAAAATAAAGACAAATAAACAGAGGCTGGCTTTGCACCACCTCTCTTTTCAAAAACACATTTGTTGCCACAAGGAGGAGCCTTGTGCAAGCTTTTTGGATGGGACTCTGTGGGGCTTTATGGATGAAGGGCTTTGGACACCCAGAGAAGGAAAAGAAGATGCCATTATTCTTGGGAGGAAGACCATGTAATTTGTGGATAAAC